CTCTAAGAAGAAAGGACAGTAACAGAAGATCTCTGTGGCTTCATGCAGGCTTGATCGCCGTTCAAATGACAGCGTTGGTTTCCACAAAAGTGGGCGGGGCTGTAAAGTGACGTAGATTTTACTCTCATCTATTATTCTAAACCATTTTATTTATTCTAAAGTAAATTACATGCCAGTGTTTTATCTTTTTATTTAGCGTGTTTTTTGTTTTTGCATGTTTAATGGGGAATGTTTTCATGTTCGCCGATTGGATGTTTTAGCCGCAATGCACGTTGCGATGTGGTGTTAATGCAATATAATATCCGAAAAATCTGAGTTTAGTATGGCCGAAGACACTACACCAGTGGCGAAGACACTACACCAGTGGCGAGCCGTCAGGGCCCTCTAGTCTAGGCCATATGTGAGGGCCTAAGATATTATAAAAAATATATATTTTTTAATATATTTTTTTGATATATGTTTCATTAGTTTTACCTAAATAACTTGATTTAGTTGTATTTAAAATAACATTTCCAAAGAAATAAATCCTTCGAATCTGCCCAGTTTCTGTTGGAATGTGAAGGGTTACATGCCGCCTCTGCGAGTTATTTTAAGACGGGAGAGCTTGTTGGTCCCTCTGTAGATTCACAGAGGGCCAGCTATAGTAACTCAATGAGAGAGTAATGTCAAATGACAGTACAATTGACCAATCATATCTTCCCTCTAAATGGGCGGGCTTTATTTTCGCGGACTTTATGACAAGTTCCGCCCGCTGTGAGGTCTATGCAAGTGGTGCAGTGACGCGTCCTTAAACCCGAAAGTAAGCTGCGCTCGGATTCCCTCGACAGAAAGCAATGGGATTTCTCCATAGAATTTTGGAAAATAGCTCGAAATATGGTCTGTGGAAAACGAACCTGTTAGATAAATGCACGTTTTGTTCAGCCGGATAATATCCACATTTCTACCCTACTTTTATTATTTTCGAATCATAAATCTAATCGATAGATTTATGATCGACAGATTTATGATTAGCATAAATTCGTTCATGATGGCTCACTTCAGTGATAGTGATGACATCGTTGCGAAATTATTAACCGAGTCATTTTCAAGATTGAGTTACAATGATAAACTGGAGTGGCAAAGGATCAGCTGAATGGCCCGCAAGTGCTTCATCCAAAAGGACAGGAGGATGGACTTTGTGTTTAAGTGATTTGATCATCAAAGGTAGGCCTAAGTCATTTTCAATGTGAGCCGCCGTGCCGACTTAATTCATTTGTAATTGTTACTTGGCTGTGGGTGCCCTGTCATGATAGGTGTTTATATAAATGGTATTGTTTTGTGTGGTAGAGGGTCGCTGTCATTGATGCGTTTTGCACCCCGGGCCGCTGTTTTGATATTCCGCTGAAGTATACGCTGTGATGTAATATCTCTTCTTTTTAAGAGGGAAGGGGGTGGGGGGGGTTCAGAGGGCCTAGGTATAAAAGTCACGGCTCGCCACTGCGTCTATCTGATAGTGAACTGTAGCAGATACGACCGTTATCGTCCTCGTGTGGCCGGGGCTTAAGAATTGTTTTAAAATTTCTACAACCAATATCTCCAACACTGCACACAAACCATTATAATCGAACACTACATGTAAGAGAACTAGAATCATGCAGCACCTTTCCCTAATCATAAAGGGACAAATCATATACACAGACAGAGATAGACAGTAATCCACCAATTTAAGCCTCAATAGACCAGAACATCGTGAAGCGAAAAGACATGTCGAGTTGTGATCAGAGAGGCTGTGACTCAGCTTTATCTTGAATGGAAAAACACTCCCACTTACCATGGCGTGGGTACTGCAATCACACAGTTACCATTCTCACATTAAGTTCAGTTGTTCTGAGTCATTCAGAGAAGTGAGAGGAATCACCAAGGCTGTTGTGTTGTACCCAGGTATTTCTGGATTGTGTCATGATAAGATTTGTCTTGGTTTGCTGGAAAAACTACACAAACAAGCTTGTTGACTCTTTTTGTAGTGGTTGTTTTTAACCAAGTTGTTTGTCACTGGTAGATCAGCTGTGTATAACCGCCTCAGGGAGGTTTTTTCTTCCTTTGAGCAAACTATAAAGATGGCTGGGAGGTCATTCAATGTGTGCTTATGTGTCACTCCTAAATGTAGCTAGAAATCTCAACACATTTTGGATGCATTCAAGCATGTATTTAGAGCTGTCACTTGTCGTCACATCATTCGAGACACATTATACGTGTGAATAGGGCTTAACTAAAGCAGAAGAACTCTAAAGGTTAAGGGAAGCAACAAGGAAACAGGGCTTAGTGGGATATATATAAACATCACAGATTGATGGTGGACTGTAGAACCACATAAGCGTGTCATCTAGCTATGTGTTATTCATGCAGCCTGGAAGCAGCAGCAGCAGCAGCTACGAAGAGCAAGCATTTGAGCTTTCTGGTCAAGAGTCCATGGTTAATATTTGAGATAGTTGGACACGTTCCTGCTTTTAGACTCCTTTTGTAGCAGCGCTGGAAATATCCTGACGTGACATACCTGCATTTGAGCAGCCGTCCTCATAAATCAAAGATCCACCAAACCAAACCAAACCAGACACAAAAAGCCAAAAGCTGTTATTTTAAAGTTAAAACCGTGTTGAAGAAGGATGTCTATGTATAGTCCTGAAATGCTGCGTTTGAGTTTAGGTTTTAACATTGCAAGGCAAGGCATATTGCACCTTTCAATACAAGCGACTCAAAGTGCTTTGCAAAAATAAAAGGCATTAAGAAATTAGTTATTCAAACACTGAAGCAAAAGAACATTCTTGATGCTTCAAAAACTCCTTTCAGCAGCTTTATGTTGGGATGCTGCCCATCCCTGTGAGTGAAACATGACCCACAACTTTGCTTTTACATTCATTATTCATTACGTGATTGTAAAGAAATACGCAAATCACTACCTGATGTGACAGGTTGATTTGGAGAATGTTTTTCATCCTCCAGCACAAAAACAGCAGGTATGTTCTGAGTCATCCTGCTGTTGGTTGTATATGATTTGAATTTAGGGATGTACTAATTAGTACTTTTTTTTTTTTATTCAATAAATGATAATTACCTTGTGGCTAATACTGATAATATGATTAATAGTTTCACATTTGTGTTAAATAAAAATAAGACTGTAACCTGTAGTTTATGCATGCCTAACGGTAAGAACGGCTAAGATGTGTTTTTTTTTTATATTCTATAGCTCCGACCTAACCAAACATAAGTGACGTATCATTTATTGTTGGCACAGCAAAAAAAAAAATCTGACTCGTCAACATTCACAGATGAGCACTGTTAATATTCTCTGTCCATTATTTATCATAATCACCTCATGTTTCCTAGGTGTTATTGTCTATTGTCCCCCATTGGCTGCCTTGTATGGAGAGCTGTTCTAGATGGCCCTAGATCCGTCAAGGCTGTGTCAATTCATACATGATACCCACCGCCTGTTGTTGTGCTCCTGCTCTGTTCAATGTACACATTGTCCGAGCATGAACGCTGAAAAGTCCTGGGAATTCTGCCTGAAAATGCAACAAAACTGGGCGGCGTTCCAAACTACTTTCCCCCAGAAAGTGCACATGGAGCATGAAGTCGAATGATGCATTCTTTGCAGCACATTTTGTGTGTAGCGTTAAGAGCTTTCTTGAATTGTGAGTCCGCCCATGGAACAGCTGATTTAGTCATTGCATTGTCACCACCACGGTGCAGTTTTCTAGAAATATCTCTTCTTTTGTTTTGTGTCTTACAGGCTAGGCATCAGCACGCACACAGGGGCCAGCTTTTTGTGCACCAAACTCCTGTTGTTGTCCAGGCCAATCTCATGTCTTTTGTGTTAACTGCAGCAGTGAAAGGTCACCAGGAAGACTATAGGATTATCTTCAACTCACGCGCATGGTGGAAACCTAAACCAATTGGTCAGCTATTGTAATCTACAGGAGGCTTCACAAAGAATAGATAACTCGGCCCATGTAATATTTAATTTGTAGTGTTAAGCCTGTGTGACCACGGTGCTTTTTCACCAGACAGCAGCACCACATGCTTTTCTGAAAGTGTGAAATATTTACACTCTGAATTATTCATACAGGATCCACCACAAACATCCTATATATTCTAGCATTTATTTTACCGTGGCCCTGTGTCTGCTGTCATCTTTGGTATAACCATTTATAGAAGCCGAGGGTCAACCCCCCTCTGGTTAAACTGTGATTTATCTGTTCACTCAAAAAGGACTTCACATGTCCATTTGTGTTTATTTTTCTTCGGAAAGTCAATGAAATATTAACATGGATAACCGTTGTGGAAAGGAGCGCTGCAGCTGGGGTTATAAGGGGCAAAGATCACTTTATAACCTCGCCTAGTTGTCTTTAATCGCTTTCTAACATGTAACCAAGTTGTATCTTTCTTGTGTACGACGTTTAAAATGTAACCCATTATAAAATCCCTTTAGCTATATGTTGCATTAAACCTAAAGCCACACCAGCAGCTCTGTTTGCCTAGCTTAGCATAGCAACTGAAAATGTGCAACATGCTAGCTTTGCTCTGATCAAATTCTAACAAAATTCACAAAACGGCACCTTTTTTAAATTCACTAATGAACAAGTTGTCTCTTGTTCTGCTGAGGTTTCATACAGTATGCTGGACTCTTTCCTGGCTGCTTCAGTGACTTTTGCACATATTTATAAAAACAGTAAAATTGTAGTTAAATTACTTGTCTATGTTCTATTTATATTTAATCATTTCTTGATAAAACTATCGTTTAACTAATGCAACATCAACATTTAGCCACTCGTGTGGAATATTGTGATAAGAGAATCATTTGGTAATGGCAAAAGAATTTGGCATCTGTGTCAAACCAAAACACTGACTCACCTCAAGCCTCGAGTATTGAAACACCCTTTTTAATTTAGTTTTTTTTTAATCAAAAGTAGCATTGTACAAACCATTTATTCTCCCTTCTCCTTCTCTCGTGTCTGCTGTAGATAACAACCAGTCTGATGACATGCCCATCATAGCCGTCATGGTGGCCCTGTCCTCCCTGCTGGTTATCATCTTCATCATCATCATCCTCTACATGCTCAGGTTGGTGGGTGATGTTACACACTGACTGCACACAAGCTGCAGACCTGTGGCGAAGGCCTAAGGTGCTCCTGTTGCCATGGCAATGACTGATTGGCATTCAGCTGTGAGGCTTGAAAGCAATGTGTGTGGAAGATATAGTGTGTGTGTATGTGTGTGTCTATTAATATGATGTGTGATGATCGACAGGTTTAAGAAGTACAAGCAGGCGGGAAGCCATTCGAACTCCTTCAGACTGACCAATGGTAGATCAGATGAAGCAGGTAAATCACATGCATTACCGTGTGCTTTGTATGTGTCTGCAGATGTTTGTCACTGAGCATTTATTGGTTAGTTTTGTGCAAATATGTACAGCCGACTTGACCAAACTTGCTCCCCTGACTAGTTTCTGATAAGACTTCATTGATTTTCTTGCTAAAGATAACATGTCAGCGTCTTTTGTTCGCTGTGATTACCTAACCATCAGGGCTGCAGTCAGCTCCCTCTCAGTGTTGAACCACACCGCCCTCTGGTGGCCATCTTTAGACCAGACACCCACATGATGAAGTAACTTGATGTAATGCATCTCACCCCCTTTCTCTTTATCTCCACCAATGCTTCCCCTCCTCTCCTCACCTCCTGCCTCCTCCCTTCCTGCCCGCCGGCACAGAACTCCAGAGCGTCCCGCTATTGGCCCGCTCCCCCAGCACAAACAGGAAGTACCCGCCCCTTCATGTCGACAAACTTGAGGAAGACATGAACCGTCGCATGGCTGATGACAACAAGCTCTTCAGGGAGGAGTTTAATGTACGGCACACACACGCACACGCACACGCGCACACGCACACGCACACACATGCACGCACCCACACCCTCTGATAACACACTAGCCTGATAATCACCTTTAACACATATCCGTGTACTAGTTAAGAGAGTCAGGGGCTACTGTAGTCGGGTAAGGGCTATCTGCAAAAACTGCAGAGAAGCTTTACTAATTTGATTTTTTGGGCATCAAAACTTAGTTGGCAAGCCAGCAGACAAGTTAAACAGTTGACATTTCAAGTTTGAATATTTTAAGTAATTGATCGAATCTAGACAAATGTAATGTCATTTATTTTAATATGTATTTTAAGCATATAGCAACCTGATTAGCAAGCCAGCAGAGCAGTTGAAACAGTTAGATTAAAGAAATTGATTATTGATTCAAACTATTAGCTAGAGGAGGACTTACAATCAAGTAAAATAACCAAAAGTAACTGATACACTTTTGAAATAATTATAATTATATAAACAACTGAACATGTCAGCCCAGATATATGGATAAACAGTTTAGATATTAAATTAAACTATTTGTTTTGAATGATTAGCAAAAATAATGCTTAAAATAGTTAGCCAAAATTATCGCTAAAACATGTTAAGTAATTAATAACAGTTGTAACAGATAGCTAACTTCACAAAAGTTGCTTATTGTCAGAATACACTTAATCAATATGTTAACATTCAAAATATATTAAAGTAAAGGTGATTCCAAGATGTTATTAAACCAAATAATTAGATCTCACTGAATTGCATGTTTCAGATAATACGCCTATTACCATTCACACAAAAAATGTTGATCTGTATTTATATGTCAGACAGATACAGACAACAGTCCCGGCTGTGCAGGGTCACACAGAGAGAAATGAAAAACTGATATCCTCTGTCTGCTCCTCCTCCCTTTTATCTGAATGTATTTCATTGTTTCTTTTCAGTCGCTGCCAGTCTGCCCGATCCAGGCATCAGTCGACGCTGCTTCCAAGGAAGAGAATAAAGAAAAGAACAGATACGTCAACATCCTGCCATGTGAGCGACAACACTGTGACACTCACTGGCCTTAATAAAGCTGCACTCTCTGAAATCATGTCTGCTGTTTCAAGCTTTCAGAAGCATTTATCAGTCCAGTTGACAGATGGCAATCATTACAATGTGATTTACTGCGTTGTGTTTATGTGCAGTAACTGTTATTTAAAGTCCAGCTCTCTCATTGCTCCATCTTTTCTGCATTTTCTTGTTCTCACTACGTCTGCTTCTTCCAACCCCCAGACGATCACTCCAGGGTGCATCTCTCGTCTCTAGAGGGGGTCCCGGACTCTGACTTCATCAACGCCTCCTTTATAAATGTTTGTCCAACCATATTCAAGAGTCAATTCTGCTCTAAATATTTTGTTGTGCATCCTAATCTCTCATGTTTCACTCTCTCTGTTGCAGGGTTACCAAGAGAAGAATAAGTTTATTGCAGCTCAAGGTAAGGATTGTGCCTTCAATGGCTGCTGTTGTTTATATAACAAACAAACTAACTGAGTTTCAGGGCAATTATTTATCCTCTGAGTTTCTGCATCCATTTCTGTTTCTCAGGGCCGAAGGAGGAAACGGTGAACGACTACTGGCGGATGATCTGGGAGCAGAACACAGCCACCATCGTCATGGTGACCAATCTAAAGGAGAGAAAAGAGGTAGGAGAGCGGGAGGGATGATGTGTGTTTTATAAACCTTTATGTATGTTTGTTTACATAACTATATTTTGTGAGAAAAGATTGTCTTTTAATCTGTTGCATTAGTCTTAGCTTTTTATAATCGTACTATTTTCTTATTTAAATTTTTGGTTACGTTTTCTTCTTTCTGTGTCTCTGTATGCAACACTTAAACTAAAGCAAATTCCTAGTATGTGTAAACCTACTTGGTAATAAAACTGATTCTGAAATTCTTATGTGAGGGCAAGCGTAACTAGTCTTCAAGTCATGAGTCGCCTTAAAGGGACAGATAACCCAAAATGACCTTTAGTGCTATTTATCTAGATTGTTTTTGTCCTGGAGATATGGGTCGTGATGTCTGCCTTTTCTCAAGTACAATGGATCTAGATGGCAAACCAAACATGTTTGAAGAGCATTGTCTCTTTCCAGACATCATGACACAAAAATAGTTACTTAAAGTGGAGCTATCATGCAAAATGCACTTTTGTACGTCTTTTATACATGAATATGTGTCCCCGGTGTGTCAGGGAACTCACCAAGTGTCGGAAAACACAACCCTCTCTCTTTTCCTCCATACCCAAATCTCTAAAAACGGGGCTGCAACGGATCTGATCCAGACTGATACAGATTTGAAAATTCTCTGACGTCAGGAACGAGGAGCTCCGCCTATATGGGCAATTCTCCACCTATCAGGGGAATGTGGGGTTGGGCCACGGCCGGCCATTGCCTCTCGAAAGCGCTGGAGACGCTGTAGTACACATGCCAGGCATGTAAGTGGCGCTGTAGTCTGCTACAAAAGCAGCGAAGAAGACTTCCCGCGCATGGTTGCCATGGTTGCTCTTTTGTTTATTCTCCACTGTGGCTCTTTTTCTCTCTCCCAGAGGCAAGCGTTTGTGCCTCCTGCTGCTGTAATTCAATGCAATGCCTCCCCGTCGAGGCAAGCACTGTAATTCTCTCCGGTTACGGCCCGTCTACACTACAGGCATAAAAAAATCTTGATGCTGGGCGTGTCTGAAGCTTGCCGATTTTTTGCGAGCAACGCGACCAACAACCAATCACATGAATCTCCCGCCCACGACATACAAAGCAATAGCAATGTTAAAACGAAGTAAACTGGATATAAACTCTCCAAACAGGCGAAAAACCTACCAGTTTAACTGGTAGGTTTTTCGCCTGTTTGGAGAGTTTATATCCAGTTTACTTCGTTTTAACATTGCTATTGCTTTGTATGTCGTGGGCGGGAGATTCATGTGANCTTAAAGTGGACCTATCATGCTATATTTGAACAATATATTGTAGGGCCATACCTATATAAAACTTTTTTTTTTTTCAAAATACCAAACAGATCATGTATTTTAGCCATGCCTCATTTCGCTCTCTTTGCTCTTTCCAGCTCTGTTTTTGCAGGGGCTGATTCTGTGACGTAGCTTTAATGCAAATGAGCTGCAGCTGACCACGCCCCCCTGCAGGAGAGGGGAGCGTGCTTTGAGATCAGCTGCTGGGCTGTCAGAAGAGGGGGAGAAAAAGAGATCTCCGTCCTCGGTGTTTTATTCTTATATGATTATATAGAGTCATTATTCAATTGTTTTAAAGCTTAATAAATAACAAAGAAGACCTTTGACCGGCACTTTTCTAATTTTGTACGGAAGAAGGAACATGTTGACTGGTGAAAAAAAACTGAAACTCTGCCGCACGGTCCCCTCGTTCCTTGGAAGAGGCGGAGAGGTAAGTGTTTGTCATCTGCTGGTGGCAAACTGGAGAGAATTACAGCGAGGGAGGGATTGCATTGAATAACAGCAGCAGGAGCAAACGCTTGCTTCGGGGAGGGAGAAAAAGAGCCACAGCGGAGAATAAACAGAAGGGCAACCATGGCAACCGCGGGAAGTCTTCTTCGCTGCTTTTGTGGCAGACTACAGCGCCACTTACAGGCCTGGCATATGTACTACAGCGTCTCCAGCGCTTTCGAGAGGCAATGGCCGACCGTGGCCCAACCCCTCATTCCCCTGATAGGTGGAGAGTTGGCCACTAAGCGGAGCACCACTTTTGTGACGTAGAAAATAATTCAAATCTGGATCAGTCTGTATCAGATCCATTACAGACCCTTTTTTAGAGATTTGGGTATGGAGGAAAATAGAGAGGGTTGTGTTTTCTGACACTTGGTGAGTTCCCTGACACACCGGGGACACATATTCATGTATAAAAGACGTACAAAGTGCATTTTGCATGATAGGTCCCTTTAAATAAAAATAGTTTACAACTTAATATTATTGTGTCAACTAACCAATACAGTTAT